AGAGGAGAGGAGAGAAGAGAGAGAGAGAAGAGAGAAAAGAGAGAAGAGAGAGAGAGAAGAGAGAAGAGAAGAGAGAGAGAGAGAGAAGAGAAGAGAGAGGAGAGAGAAGAAGCAGGTGAAGAGGAGCAGAAAAAAAGAAAAGAGAAAGCAAGAAAAGACAAAACCGTGGACAAAAGAGAAAGAGAGAAAAATGGCGAATAAAAATACAAGAGGATAGCAGGGTAGGAAGAGACTAGCCTCGCCCGGCCGTAACCGAACGGGCAAAGCAACAATAACACGGCGGCGCGGGCCAAAGGGGGTGACGAGAACACCAGACAGAACAATGTCCGCAAGAATGTACAGTAAATATAATAAACAGAAAGACCTTCAAGTCTGAGGATAAAGATAAGGAGAAGGCTGATGATGATAACGACGGCGGCGGCCCAGACGACGATAACAAACGCGCATCGCAAATTATTAGCGTTCGATGATAAACGACAAACGAAAAAACATCAAAATATCTAACACTATCAACACTACTCTTTACCAGAACTTTGTAACTCCTTCACGCAAAAACCTCGTTCCCTCAAGAAGGCGCTTTTCATAAATACCGGGTTGCTTAATTTCGCATAAACAAGGGCGCCGCAATTTCTGAATGAAAGAAATCGCAATTCTGTAAAATGTTGCGCTGATGTCAGATGGGCGTTTTTCTTTGTACAGTTGTATCATCGGTGTAACATTGTTGATAAATTTGTTGGCGTATTTATTGTTCGCAGAAAGAGACAATATAATTCAAACACCTTTATATATGATGTAATATTTAGTGAATCGATATAAAATAAAACAAACATATGCATATGTACATTAATACATACATACACACGCACGCCCCCCCCCCCCACACACACACACATATATATATACAATGCACAAGATCAAACAAAAGACCTCTGAGACGTGGACCATCACCTAATCATCGTAAACCATCTTATCTGCAATAAATAACTGTGAAATGAAACTCACAGAGAGAAAAGCAACAAAGGAAAAATAATATCTCCAGCCCTTCGACCTGCCCCCCCCCCCAACCCTAACCCACCCAACCCCCACATCACCAAGCTTGCACGGAAGTTACACGTGTTAGTAGGTCCTTCTTGGCAAAGTTCACATTTTTCTCTTCACACACACACACACACACACACATGCGGAACCACACATACACGTAGAAATAGACAATCTTCTTGCGAACAAAGGGAGTGAATACGAGAGAGAAAGAGACTGAGTGAGAGAGATAGAGAAAGAGACTGAGTGAGAGGGAAATAGAGAGAGAGAGAGAGAGAGAGAGAGAGAGAGAGAGAGAGAGAGAGAGAGAGAGAGAGAGAGAGGAGAGAGAGAGAGAGAGAGAGAGAGAGAGAGAGAGGGAGAGAGGGAGAGATATAGAGAGATAGAGAGACGAAACTGAGAGAGAGAGAGAGAGAGAGAGAGAGAGAGAGAGAGAGAGGAGAGAGAGAGAGAGAGAGAGAGAGAGAGAGAGAGAGAGAGGGAGAGGGGGAGGGGGAGAGGGAGAGAGAGAGAGAGAGAGAGAGAGAGAGAGAGAGGAGAGAGAGAGAGAGAGAGAGAGGAGAGAGAGAGAGAGAGAGAGAGAGAGAGAGAGCGAGAGAGAGGGAGGGAGAGGGAGAGGGAGAGGGGAGAGAGAGAGAGAGAGAGAGAGAGAGAGAGAGAGAGAGAGAGAGAGAGAGAGAGAGAGAGAGAGAGAGAGAGAGAGAGAGAGAGAGAGAGAGACAGAGACTGAGAGGGAGAGACAGAACGAGATAGAGAGATAGAGAGACATATATATATATATATATATATATATATATATATATAATATATATAGAGAGAGAGAGAGAGGAGAGAGAGAGAGAGAGAGAGAGAGAGAGAGAGAGAGAGAGAGAGAGAGAGAGAGAGAGAGAACCAGGGACAAAGGGCGACAAAGTCAGGAACGTAGCTACCCCACCCTTTAACCTTCAAACCCGTGGTGCTGCCGAAACAAAATCGCTCTCCTATGAATGGGCGGTACAGGTTCGCATCCTGATCAACAGCGCAGATGCTGAGCGAGTTCTGCGCTGCGCCGCTGACATCAACTTCCGCGGCAAGAGCAGCTGGTTCCCCGCGCTCCCCGCCCCGCCGGCATTCGATTGCAAGAACACGTCGGATGACATCCAGGATCAACAATAAAAACAAAATCACTTCTTCACTCACGTATAAGCATGAAAGTTGCCATACACTAAAATCAAAGCTATGAGCAACGCTACTCAAAGAGTAAAGACAAATATAACATGCCATCCTCATCCCGCATGTACGGTGTGCACGATTGAAAATGCAAAGTGCAACATGGCAGATCCTCCTTTGACGCCGCACACGCCTTCCTGATCGTAAAATCAAACTCGTTCTTGACAAAGGCGTTAAAGTGTTAGTCTTTATATATTCTGTCTCGATCCTTCACTCCGTTAGGTACTCGTGTGCTTAGATTTCGATTCAT